ATCTGGGAAGCCTTCCTCATATCTTCATGAGGTCCCTGACTCTTCTCTAAGTGGCACGTCAGAGCAGCATATGGCACACAACTTGTTGTGAGACACATAAACTAGTATCAGTTGCGGTGGGAAGCCCTGTGCAGAAGTAAGATTTTACTGCTAGTCCAGCTGACTATATAGAGCAAGGGAAGGCTGACAGCCCATCTCAGACAGCAAAATATCTCCATACTGCCCTGTCTTCATGTATGATGAGTATCAATTTCATTTTATTACCACCAAAAAGTGCTCCCCTCTGAGATGTAGTGAGGAGAGTCAATGTATTTTATGTCAAGTGGGCTGTAAAAAATATTTGATTTGCTTTATTCCATACTGACAAAAGGATACATGGAAATATGATCAAGTGTTCAGTAGTAAATGGACATAAATTATCAAGGTTTCCAAGTATTACTCGAATAGCCTCCTGGATGATTAAAATGAAGTTCTACAGTTTCTGTTAGTTCTCCTCATTTTCTGACATTAAACACAATTCTATGGAAAAGCCTATTCAGTACAGTAAGGTTGTTCTCAGGTTTTACCAAGAAAATTTCTGAGTCCAAAATCCAAATAAATAAATACTGTGTATCTAAGGACAGCTGCAAAACTTGTTTCCTTGTTTCTCAAGTTTCTAGTGACATGTTTGGTCACGCAATAATCAATTGTGCAAGCGTAGAAAGACCCAGCACGCAACAGACAGCCAAGGAAGCTGCTTGTGTCATGTGCATAATTTCCCTTACACAATTACCTAAGCAAGCAGGATTACAGCCTTACTCTTCTAACAATCACTGTTCATAGCAGACTTTTCTACACACTCTTGCATTCAAGTAATATTGAAACATAACTCATAAGGCTCATAAAAGAGTTTTAAAAATTATTTGATATCCCACATTCATCTCTGAACTCCATAAGTAACTTTTTTGGCCAAAGTCTAAGGTAGTATATTAAGCCTATTGTCTGTTGCTCAACAAAGAAAAGACAACAATTAAGATAAATAATCATGGGACTGGGCAGAACAGGAACATATAGGCAGTGATAATTTATGGGTCTTATGTGTGCACATTTGGCATTCCAGGGATTTATATGCTAAACAGATACAAAGATAACTGCAATGCAATAGAAACAGCATATTATGAGACAAAAATGATGTCAGATAAAGAAATAGTGAACCAGCATCTATGCACCACAGAATCACTTTTTTGCAATTACTCCTCCCTGCAAACAGCCACATCTCAAATAAATAGCCCCTATATGTTCAGTAGTTATTTGAATTAAACGAAAACCTTAAATATACTTTATTAATTTTCAAATGCAAGAGTAAGTTTCAATTTAATTGGTTTCATAAGATGAAAAAGCTAGTTCCATCTCACCTGTAGTTCTTCATTCGCAACACTTTCATGAAAGTCAGTATTAACACTATAAAATAAACGTAATAGGTGTTAATTTCAGAAATCAAGACTAATTAGCCATCTACAACATTACAATTAGTTCAGATCCAAAATCCATCGTACTGGCTTCTTTGGAATATAACAGTGTACCTTAGTTATAAGCTTCATGCACTAGTCATAATTACATGTGCACATATTACCCACTTCCATTTTACTTCCTCTTTTATAATGCTCTGACTTTCTAACAATTTCCAAACTGAATTCCATCCTTAACACTAACTCTAGAAATGTGTGACAGCTAGCAGAAGAGATCTTATGTTAGGACAACGACATAATTCGATTCTGGCCTAAATGTTCTATATACTCCTGAAACAATGGCTGAAATCCTGTTGCATAGTGTAGTAAGGCGCAGTACAGTAGCCACACTAGATCAGTGGGGGTTTAGTCAGTCGTCTTCTCTATAAGTTCCAATTATTTAAATGGGCCTACTCTAGTTTCAACTTCCTATATTATATAAACTGCAAACAGAGTAGGCCCATCTGGATCAATGAAACTTATGGAAGAGTTGCCTCACCAAATCCCCATTGAGTCGATGGGCATACTCTAGTGCAGTGGTTCCCAACCTTTTTCAAGTCGCAACCCTCTTTATAATAGCCAAGTAACTTGCAACATTCTGCCATATTTGCATAAAAAGGCATTTTTTATAAGGTACAGTCATCCCTTCTCAGAAAGTAGAGATTTCTTTCTCCCCCAAGGCAGGGGCTTGTTTCTCATATATACACATACATACTAACTTTAATATCCGGCTCTGAAAGTTCAAGAAAGAAATTATTTAACAGGGGCTATCCTACATAACAGGGATGTGTTGGCACTGCAGGTTTAAACCCAGAAGCCTCTGTGCTGCAGGGTTGGAAGACTAGCAGTCATAAGATCGAATCCACTCGACAGAGTGAGCTCCCGTTGCTTGTCCCAGCTCCTGCCAATCTAGCAGTTTGAAAGCATGTAAATGCGAGTAGAGCTGGCCACGTGACCACGGAAACTGTCTTCAGATAAACGCTGGCTCTACGGCTTGGAGATGGGGATGAGCACCGTGCCCTAGAGTTGGACACAACTGGACTAAATGTCAAGGGGAACCTTTACAATACATATAGTGGGATGTGGTGGTGCTGCAGGTTAAACCACAGAAGCCTCTGTGCTGCAAGGTCAGAAGACCAACAATCGTAAGATTGAATCCATGCAACGCAGTGAGCTCCCGTCGCTTGTCCCTGCTCCTGACAACCTAGCAGTTTGAAAGCATGTAAATGTGAGTAGATAAATAGGTACCACCTCGGTGGGAAGGTAATGGCATTCCGTGTCTAGTCATGCTGGCCACGTGACCACGGAAACTGTTTTTGGACAAACGCTGGCTCTATGGCTTGGAGATGGGGATGAGCACCGCACCCTAGAGTTGGACACAACTGGACTAAATGTCAAGGGGAACCTTTACCTTTACCTTACAATACATATAAGGTGACAAGCAACTTCCCAAAAAGCACTTTGCAACCCCCTTGGGAGGGGGTCATGACTCCCAGGTTGTGAAGCACTGCTCCAGTGCCGCACTGACTATTCTAAGCAGCAGGATTTCAGCCATTATCTCAAAAACACTGTAAAGAAAGGTAATATTACCATCCCCATACTGCAAATGAATAGCTGAGACTGACAGAATAGCTTACTCAAAGCTATTAAGGGAGTTCAGATACACAATCAGAAACAGAGATTTCAAGCTTCACAGCTCATTCTAACATTTATGCTACTCCAGCACTTGTTGCAATCCTATGCATGGACTCTGATTTTCATGGCTCTCAATGCAAATTTTCTGAGGCTTTGGATCTGTATTTTCTTTCGTCTTGCTGCTCTGAACAATTTCCAAACAGAAAGACCTTTACATTAACTGAACTATCATACTTACCTAATGTATTAAGATCAACTGAACTGTCATACTTACCTAACAGTGTTGCCATATTTGATCTTAAATTTATACACATTTCTTCCTGCATGAAAAAACCTTGTCTCAGGCACTGGATACATAAAGGGCTTTAAGGAGGTATGTTCAGAAATCCAACCTACCATTTTAAAAGGGGGGGAAAAGAACAATAAAATACTATGCTAAAACAACTGTTAAGCACATTTCAGTCTCATCACATTTTAAGCAACAAGGCTGTTGTCAACTGGTCTGGCATTAAAACTTCACTGGAACCACAACTCGCAAGATGCTGTTTTATATGCGTTTATTATATGTATCTTAAAATATCAAGTTTTCTTAAATTGTTACTGATTTCTTCACTGGCCTCTATTAAGGAATCAAAAACATGCAGCCCTTTGAAATGATCATGCTTTCAACAAATCTGGGAACAAATCAATACTACCTCAGATAAAACAAAATATTTGAAGGTCAGGTCCTAATTCTATACTCTGTTGTACGGAGGACTTTCAAATACATTAGCTAGGGCACAACATCTGTAAAAGCTGTGGCAAGAAATCCAGTATGTTTTGTTCTTTTTAGTTTTTAAACTATACTGTACATCTAAATTCAGTTCATAAGAACCATTTCTGCTTTTCTTTCCAATTTTACCCCCCCTTTCCCCTCTGTAACTTTTTTTTGAATAATAAATTAATTTGAATGGAAAGCTAAGCTGATCCATATTCTCTGACCTTGCTGACTTCAGGATCATTCAAGCGGACTGTATGCTCCTAATAGATTTTAAAGTAGGGGCCTGGCTATGGAGATAAGCACTACTTATTAAGTCATGTTGTGATCCATGTGTAAGCCATAATGCTACAGAATACCGATTAACCTTCAATTTACTAGGAACATCATATAATCTTGTTATTTTACATCATCACTGGCTCCAATGTTTGATATAATAGCCAAGAAAAAACAATCTGTAGAGCACAACACAAATGCATGCTATTTGCAACATGAGACTGTAAGTTATATTTTAGAATTTAGAACAGAATGCTTTCATAAAACTACTTTATTATACCACAAAGATAGAACAAATAAAATATATGAATAAGCCAGAACAGTGCCACAGTTTACCAAAACAAGTTTGCATACCTTGATAAAGATTTTGATAAAGTTACTTTGGAGGACTACAAACTAGCTGTGGGATTCTGGGAGTTGTACTCAAAAGAACTATTTTTTTCCTAAATTCTGACTAGAACAATGTATCAAGCAAACAATCATAACACTTGATCTAGCCAGGCTGGGCGGATGATGGGCTTGACCCCGAGAGAGGCCCAGAAGGCGAGAACTAGAAACCGGGCCTTCTCGGCGGTAGCCTCTCACCTCTGGAACATCATGCCCCTTGAGATTTACCTGGTAACCTCACTGGGAGTTTTTAAAAACAAGCTGAAGACTTGGTTTTTCAGCAGGCCTTTCCCCCTTCCAATTCTCAATTCCATATGTCTTTCCATCTTGGACTTTTCTTATCTCTATGTTGTTTGACAGAAGGATGTGGTGGGGCTGGGGGTTAAACCGCAGAAGCCTCTGTGCTGCAAGGTCAGAAGACCAGCAGTCATAAGATCGAATCCATGCAATGGAGTGAGCTCCTGTCGCTTGCATTCGAAAGCATGCAAATATGAGTAGATAAATAGGTACCACCACAGTGGGAAAGTAACAGCGTTCCGTGTCTAGTTGCGCTGGCCACGTGACCATGGAAACTGTCTTCGGACAAATGCTGGCTCTACGGCTTGGAAATGGGTTGAGCACCGCCCCCTAGCGTTGGACATGACTGGATATTTGTCAAAGGGAACCTATGTTGTTTGATACTGTGTGTTTTAAATTTTGTTTTGTATTCAGAATGTAAGCCACCCAGGGTAGATTCATTGAATCTAGATGGGCAGGGTAAAAGCTGGGAAAATAAATAAATAACAGCACAAAATCTTTCATATTTCCTAGAACTCTTCAATTAGGCTGGATGTAGAGTGGTAGGATAAAAAAAAATCTGCATTTGACTTGTGGCATGTCTACATGGTCTCTTTGGATCAGGCTGAACTGGACTAAATAGTGTTGGTAAGAGGTCCAGTATACCATTTGCTTGGTTTTCTCTTAAAGGCCTGGTTGAGGGACTATCCAATTCAGAAAAGGGGCTTACAGCTGTTGCCATGGAACAAAGTTAGACACTTGGCTGATAATGGCCAAGTCATGTAAATATGTTTAGTGTTACGCCTGGCAACAAGAGGTTGTGCTATGCAATTGTGCAATTGCCTATATGCCCCCAGCACAATCTATTATGCAACACACTACTGGAAATGCTTCGGGGATCACACTTCCACAACTACCACACACAGAACCTTGAGCTACACGTGCACAATGGCACAACATATTTACAGTGAATTTCAAAGAAGCTGCAAATTCTAAAACAGAAGTTCTAAAACCTTTGTTACAATACTTTTTCATTCATTCAATGACTTTGTACTCTCACATTATTTGGCATCAAAGATACTGCAAAAATAGTTCTCATATTTGACTATATATTTTAGAACTTCTCCACAACTATTTCAGATCAGTTGCTTTAAAAATATCACCAACACCATCATCATGCTGTGTTTTCAGTCAGAAAGCCTTTAAAAAAACAATAACCATGAACATTTTTTTAGAATTATGAAAAATGCTAGCACAGCAAAATAAGGATGGGGGGGAAGGTGTACTTTAGAGTTCTGAACTTGAATATATATTTCAAAGCATACCATTTCTACCAGTTAATCAATCTCATAATAAAATTCAGGAAACACATCTTGATCAAAACAATCTTGTTAATATCTCTGTTGAATATCAGTAAAAAAATTCTTAACTGTTAGAGTAGTAAGACAATGGCACCAATCACCTCGAGAGGTGGTGAGTGCACCAACACTGGAGGCATTCAAGAGAAACTTAGATAAGCACCTGGCAGATATCTTTTGATTTGTATTCCTGAATCAAGCAGGGGGTTCAACTTGATGGCCTTATAAGACTCTTCCAACTTCACTATTCTATGATTCCATCTGCCATTCTTAACAATCTACACCAGACTGGTAATGCTATTTTCAAAGTTATTTTTGAAAAAAACAACTCAGCATCCTCATTAACTACATCACAGATGGACAAGGTGTAGACAATGGGCCACATGTTGCCTTTGAGAGTCCCCAGTTTTGCCTTTAGTCATCCCATCATGGCCCTGCGCACTCCATTTTGTTGTACACATTGCATCTTCAATCTTTTAGTAATCTTTCTCTGTTCCTAATATAAAACAAGCAGACAAAACCAAACGAACAAAAATCAAGTTTCTGTTTTCTGAATAAAAAGATATTCTCTTCCCTTCCCCCAAGAAGATCAGACAATACAGACATATAACTTATTAATTACCTTCTGACAGCCATCTAAACAAATATTGCTGAAACACACATTATGTTGCTGGTACTAATGCAGACAGGATCATCTTGTCAAGGAAAAACTGCTCTACGAGTGAGAAGCTTCCAAGAATGTGATGAAATCAGTCTCCTTTTTTTCCCCCCTCTGACATCTTTTCATGGCATGCAGCCTGGGTGCTGCCACATTTTCCCTGAGTGTTGCCATAACTAAACAAAGTTGTTCTGTTACACCAATAGTCTAAATGGTGCTTCTCCAAGCATATGTCCCATGTATTCTACCTCCTTAATGCAGTGCTCCTTCACACGCAGAGATGCACGTTGGCACAAACACCATCACCACATGACTTTCTCCTTACGTTGCAAATGCATTAACTGCATTTTGGTTCTCAAATATTAAAATTAATATAAATACTACTTCATAAATATAAAATACAGATCAAGGTACTGTGCTTGGGAAATCTTTGAATACAACAGTTTTAAAATGCTATTGCTAAGCAGGACCAAATACAGCATCCCACCTGACTGCATTTTTGCTTAAACCCTATGAGTCAGTATGCTTCAGAGACAGATGTTATTCCTCATTCCGCTTGGCTTTAAAAGTACAGTTTTTAATTCCAGCCTCTTTAATCCTACCATCATCTACACAGAACAATCTGACAAAAAGGCTTCAAGTACATTGTAGGCTGTTGTACGTATTACAGCTATCTTAATATAGGATATTCCTGGTAGCTCTAAAGCCCAATGAGGCAATGCTTCTGTGGTTGCTGGTCCCTCACACAAACGCACAAACACACACACAAAGAGAGAGAACACACACCGGTTGCCAGAATTGCAGCAAGGGTTAGAATGCCCCCTTCTGGAAAATACAAGCTGTGTTCTTTCTTCTTTCTGCCAGATAAAGAAACAAAACACCAAAGCAGAAAAGAAATGCAAATATAGGTATGCCCAAATGTAAAATTTAATACAAGACAATCTTCTAACATTTCCCAAAGTTAAAAAATAATCATTAAAAAAATTCTGAAATCCTTCTGTGCGGTGTTGTAGTCACATTTGTATACTTATTTGCAATCAGAAGTTTTTTGTTGTTTAATCGTTTAGTGGTGTCCGACTCTTTATGACCACATGGACCAGAGCACGGCAGGCCCTCCTGTCTTCCACTGCCTCCCAGAGTTGAGTCAAATTCATGTTGGTAGTTTTGATGCCACTGTCCAACCATCTCATCCTCTGTCGTCCCTTTCTCCTCCTGCGTTCACACTTTCCTAACATCAGAGTCTTTTCCAGGGAGTCTTCTTTTCTCATGAGATCGCAAAAGTATTAGAGCCTCAGCTTCAGGATCTGTCCTTCCAATGAGCACTCAGGCTTGATTTCCTTCAGAATGGATAGGTTTGTTCTCCTTGCAGTCCAGGGGATTCTCAAGAGCCTCCTCCAGCACCACAATTCAAAGGCATCAATTCTTTGGTGGTCTGCTTTCTTTATGGTCCAGCTCTCACTTCCGTACATCACAACAGGAAAAACCATACCTTTGGCTATTCGGACTTTTGTTGGCAAGGTGATGTCTCTGCTTTTTAAGATGCTGTTGAGGTTTGTCATCGCTTTCCTCCCAAGAAATAAGAATCTGCATAATCATGCCAGCAGACCATATTATTTATAGGTACCATCTCTCAAACATGGGAGTGTTTTCCTAGCCTTGCCAATGTCAGAGCTTGAACCT